GAGATATGTACCTTGTATTTTTTTTCTCCCATATTTACTGAATGGGTAAAATTAGGTAATACCCCAAGATTTCCAGTAAAATCACAGCCTTCTTGAAAATTGACAGCTTAATTGCTCAGTTAGAGTGCTCTGGGTAATCCTCGGTACACTTGTGATACTTTTAAAGCATGCTAGAGACATATTCATCTAATAATAAAGATGAAAGATTTTGATAAAGTAAACAAAACATCGGAGTGGATCCAATATTCATCACAGTTTGCAGATACAATTGCCACTGTTATCATTGTTTCCAGAATGTAGCATTCAGGATTTCACAGAACAATAAAATCGTTAAGGTTGGAAAGGACCTCCAAGATCATCTGGTCCAATCATCCCCCTACCACCAATATCACATACTAAACCGTGTCCCTAAGCACCACATCCAACCTTTTCTTAAACACTCCCAGAGATGGTAACTCCACCACCTCCCTGGACAACCCGTTCTAATGCCTGAATGCTCTTTCTGAGAAGAAATGTCTCCTAATTTCCAACCTAAACCTCCAATGGCACAACTTGAGGCTGTTCCCTCTTGTCCTATCAATAGTTATCTGTGAGAAGAGGCCAACCCCCAGCTCCCCACCGCTTCCTTTCAGGTAGCTGTAGAGAGCAATAAGGTCTCTCCTGAGCCTCCTCCAGACTAAACAACCCCAGTTCTCTCAGCCACTCCTCACAGGACTTGTGTTCCAGGCCCTTCACTTGCTTCGTAGGATTTGCTGCTATATCTGCTTTTTCTTTCTTCTAATGGTTTGATTTAAATTATTTTGATTCTTGTAAACAATGGTTGGAGATGCTCTCTACTTGTCATAATTCATCTCAAAGAAATATAATAATGGTGCCTTAAATATTACTTTCATATGGTTGTAAGTCTAAATGAATTAAAGTTCAAATATACATAGAATCAAAAATGTCTCCTGATTTTCTCCGAATAGCAAATCCATCACAAATATATTAGTCATTTTAGATGACCTGAATATTTGTTTTTCCTTAAATTAAAGTGTTGTTTGAAAAACTTTGCCTACCTTGAATTCTGAAGTCCATGAATATACTGAAGGATCACTGCTGAGTCAACAATAGGTATTTTGACAGTCATGGTGTGTTTCTGTTAATCATTACTGACAGGAAAAGCCAAAAACTTGTAATAATGCAGAGGTATGGGGGAATCCTATGCTTTTCTTTTATGTACACAGTTCTGAGCAGCTAGCTCACATCGGTGTGAAGGACTCACACTTTGAAACATGCAATACACTCTTAGATTATGCAGGTATAGTGTGTTTATTGCAAAGTGCTTCTGGGATTTTTAGATGGGTCAAATGAGTGTTTTTTTTCATTCTGGTGGGAAAAAGTCCATTTTGGATCCTATGCATAGACTGACAGCACTCCAAGCCAAACTTAAATTTTTGTTCCAAATCATGGATGAGTTGCAGTTG